ATGCGGCGGGCAGCCGCTCAGGAGTGGCAGCCGCTGTTCGCTCAGCCCAATCCTCCCTGGGCACATCCGTTAGTGCAAATCTGGCAAGATGCAGACGGACTCAGGAGAGGCAGCCCCAACACGACCTTGTTGGGGCACGAGGCGGAACTCTCTGCTCTACTCAGTCCTGGCCCCTACCAGCTCCACTTTTTCCGCAACACAGAGGTGCGGCAACTCGGGCCGCTGGAGTTGAAAGTAGGGCGGTGGCTCCTCCGAAAGGTAGGTGGGTTATGGCTTGCACACAATTTAGGACCGTGTTGGGGCCCCACACACTTCCTTGTGCATGTTGACGGTCAATCTCCACATGAGTGGACAGCAGACCAGTGGCTGCGCCTGCTTCCCGGAGAATGTCACAGGTGCCTCTTGCTAGGTCCTAGCAGTTCTGATGCACCCAGTTCTCCTTCTCTCCTCCGCCCACTGTCTGCCTTGGAGCGTTCCAAATGGATTTCCAAGATGTCAGCCTCACGACCGGGCCCCTCTGGTTGGAAGCTCTGCTTCTTGCTTTTCTTCCCGTCCCGGGTACAAGAGCTGTATTGGCTCATGCTGGACATTCAACGCCAACATGCCTGCCTTGCTCCGTCGTTGCTTCAGGCAGTGCAGGTCAACTTGCCCAAACCCAAAGGTGGCTGGCGACCCCTTACTATGTTGGAAGAATCCTTCAAAGCTATTGAGGGCCCTGTTACCCATAGGCTGTTGTCCGCCAGGGCAGCCCTGCCTGCAGGTACTGTCTACAGTGCCACTAATCGTGCCTATGAGCCGGGCCAGGCGGCGGCAGCCGATGTGCTGTATCTTGACGTGATGGTGACCGAAGATGCTATGCATCATGGCTTGCCTCTTGCACGGGTCCCCGCCGACTTCGAGAAATTCTTCAACGCGATCAACCTGCCCTTGGTTGACGCAGTGCAACAAGCACGCGGGCTTCCTCCCGACGTTCGGCAATTCTATCAAGCCGCCTTCCAAGGTCTCACTATCATGGTGGACACAAAATGGGGACCCTCCCCACCTGTGCATTGTCAACGAGGCGTCCCTCAGGGCGCTGTCTCCTCGCCCGAGCTGTCCAAGCCGGCTCAGGACCCCCTCTTGCGCATACGCGAACATAGCTGTGCCTGCTACGTGAGCTCGTCCGGGCGCCGAGTAGCAGTTGCTGGCTATGTGGACGATGCCGAGCACTACGCCCAGGGAGCGCGCCAGCTCCCACAGCTCCTCTGTGACCTCTCCGTCGGCAGTCTCCTTACGGGCATCGGGTTTGCTTGGGACAAGTTCCACGCCTTTGCAAGCGACTGGGATGCCTTCGCTGCTTCGCCCGAGGGAGCCGCTGCTGGCTTTACAGCGGACGCAGCGCCAGTGTCTGGCTATGACATCTGGTCCGGAGGTACCAGGGCATTCCGTCTCCCTCGCGCCCGGTCGGAGGAGGAGGAGGTCCTCCTGGGCAAGCGAGGGACACTCCTCGATCGCCACTCTCTGGCAGCTGCGGACACCCTTAAGCGCTTGCAGGGCCTCTTGCAAAAATTCACTTGGAGGCGCCTCAGCTGGGACGAACTTCTTATGGGCGCGCAGCTTTATGGTGCTGGCTACCTAAACTACGCCCCTCTGGTGGGCCTGCCGGTACCACAGGAGCTCCACAAACATGATGCGGCCATACAACACCTTCTCCTCCGCTCTCTCGGGGTTCGTTCCACTGCAGAGCGTGTTGGCCTGTTTGCCCCGCGCCGCCTGGGCGGGCTCCAGCTGCACTCAGCTGTTGAGACTCTTTTGGGTGCAACATCCGCCGAAGTCTTACGTCTCCTCAACAGCCCTTGCCTAGCCGGACAATTGGCACGCGACTCCCTCCAAGAAGCCATGCTCATGGATCCCGCCCACGCGGAACAATGCTCGTTTATGGTAGTCCGCGCCATGCGGCTCCTTGCCGGGTATGGTCTTTTCGTCAACGCATCAACAGAACGCTCCGTCAGTCGCGTCCTCGACCACATCGTGCAAGCTCAGGGTCTTTCCCCTGCTGGCCTCATCGGCACCTTCGACGCTCGCAAGTTTGAATCCATGGCCAAGTTCTGCCGCGTTGGTCCGGTCGCCAATGCCGTACGGAAAATTCTCCGTTCCTTGAAGGAGCGGGGCATTCCCCCCCCCTCCTGGGGGCACCCGGACCACTGGCGAAATTTGCCGGGATCTTGCCCCGTCTCATCTCAGATCTGCGCAGCTGCCGTGGTGGCCAGTTTAGCGCAGTCCA